ATGGAGAGGAGGCCAGTTGGATGAGAGCCATCTCACTCTCACCCTCTTTCTACCCAGGCTCCTTGGATACATAGGAAATCCCAGCTTGATGCAAGTAACCCTGGGGTTTGTTAATTCCCATTGGTACACAGTGTCCCTTTGACTCACTAAGGATATGCTAAATCTGGCCAACTGTTTCAAATAACATTAATCTTAGATGTGATTTGTGTGGTTATATTGCAGAACCAGAAAACACTTCAGCCATTCAAATGAATTTAAGCAATGCCAAATCTAGACAAGTGGATAAACCTGAATCATAACATCCTGCCACATCACAAAATATTTTCAATATCCTGTCAAAAGTAAACACTCGTGTTATTTAAAGTGAAAGACAGACTGTCAATCCCAATTTATCCAAGTTCCCTAAGTTACACGGCTCGCGAGCAACTCTTTGTAGCGTAAAGCCTTTCAAAAGAAACTGTTTTAAACTGATACTGATAATACAAAAGACTTCTGGTATGTTTTTAAAGTCTGTTGAAATTTCGTACTTCGTATCGAAGCAACTTTTTAAACTTAAGCGAGAAAGAAACAAATAGAAAAAGGCTGAACTTCAGCAAACGTACCGTTCTCTGTTTTTTCAACCCAGACATGATGTCACAACGCGAACACGCTGGTCAGAGCTTTCTATAAAATGTGACCCTTTAAGGACTAACACAGAATGAAAGAAAGTGAAGTTAGTGAAAGTCAGGATAAACTGGACACGTAGCACTCAGCGTTCTTCCTGAAACCCTCCCACCGATCAGCGTGCGCTGCTCACGTCACCATCACGACTACACACACACACTGACTAGGCTACACTGATTCAACATCTCTCTCACTCACAGCACACAAGGAGTAATACAACACAGATACATGAAGGGGGAAAAAAACATTATCGAGTTATTACTGCTACTCTGATTTGGGTTTGACAACTTCCATCTCAATCTCAGCCAACCCACTTGGACCCACTAAAAACAAAAGAAAACTTTAATAATATTAGCAAACATTATTTAAAAAAAACAACAACAAAACAATGCACCACATTACAGTTTTTTTTATTCGCTTTGGTACTATTTTCACAAGTAAGGTGTACATTTTCAAAACTCTTGGTACAATAATCCAAACTGATCACACTTGTAACGCAGCTCGTCATTCTTTCAAAACCTGATGTAATGCTTTCAGTCAGTTGCACATGTTTTCAGTCCACATAATCATTATTTCAAACACAAGATTATTGTAATATGTAATGAGAACATTTGGTTTAATCACTGAAACACAACAATATGATCTTCTTTCAGTTTAGTACTTTTAACAATCAGTTCATCCAACAGCAAACAATGCAAGATACATGTTTCAAATCGGCCTTAGAAGTGCTGAAATGAATATGCTACAGTACTATAAAAGACAGATTACACAGTTTTACTGTAACATTAGGCAATACACTTACAGTACCCAACATTTACGTACATAATCTATAATTTTCAAATATCCATCATATATGTAGGCCTAATCAAGTGAAGGATCAATGATGACATCCTCTACAATCATTTAGGCAAATTATAGTTTTTATTTTTCAGATAAAATTGTAACATAGGTATACTTTCTATAATGAAATGTAACTACATAAATAAGAACGAAACATAACATTTAGTGCACACATTATGTACATAGTGGCAAATTGTGGTTACCACTATGTGAAATCAATTAGCTATAACGAGTATTCATCATGTGTGGTTACATGTAATTTACTTGTAAATATTCATACAAACACACATTTTATTTCTGTAGTTCTCAAAATCCATATATTGTATATTGCTGAATTGAAAATCTATAGGTTTACCAAATGATTAATTGATTAAACATTAAGATCAGTTGGATTAAATAATAGACAAAAGTATTAAACTGAACAAAAAGAGATGCAAATCAAAAGTTTGATAGTAAGAGCTTTATGAAAGGCAGTTACTGTGCATGAAACAATAATGTAGATGAAACACTTATTTTGTGTTGTGAAAAGGATACTTTGTGGTTGTGTGAATTGTACTAACACAGTTGAAAACATGATGAAATGTTTGAAAAAAGTGCACTTTTGATGATCTGTTGTGATATTAGCACTAAGAGTTTTGAAAATGTACACCTTACTTGTGAAAATAGTACCAAAGCGAATAATAAAAACTGTAACTACAGATAATGAATAATATTTTACAGGAATGTCAGAAACACTTTACAGTATGGTTTCATTAGTTATTAACTAACAATGAACAAAACATTTGTTATAGTATTTATTAATCGTTGTTAATGTAATTAATATAAATACAGCCATTCATTGTTTGTTCATGTTTGTGCATTAGGCTAACTAATGGTAACAAGCACAACTTTTGATTTTAATATTAGTAGGCAACATGTTGAAATTAACATTAATTTAGCTTAATGAATACTGTAGTCTTGTTCATTCTTAATTCATAAACTAAAGTTAAGATAGCACAAGTCTATTTGATGTGATGTTTAAATCTGGAAGAGTTATATTTAAGAGTGTTTGCTCATCTGCAATACGTCTAGAAGACACTTCCTGTCAGATGTCAAATATACGTTTAGAAGATGTCTTTAAGATGTAATGATTTAGAATGCATGTTAAACTGACAGCTTCTAAATGTCTATTTGATGACATCTGACAGGAAACGTCCTAGACGTATTGCAGATGAGCAAACACTCTTAAATATAACTCTTCCAGATTTAAACATCACATCAAATAGACTTGTGCTATCTTAACTTTAGTTTATGAATTAAGAATGAACAAGACTACAGCATTCATTACACTAAATTAATGTTAATTTCAACATGTAGCCTACTAATATTAAAATCAAAAGTAGTGCTTGTTAACATTAGTTAGGCTAATGCACAAACATGAACAAACAATGAATGGCTGTATTTCTATTAATTATAGTTACATTAACAAAGATTAATAAATACTATAACAAATGTTTTGTTCATTGTTAGTTAACACTTGAACTAATGTTATCTAATGAAACCTATATTGTAACGTGTTACCGAAATGTATTTTCGAGAAAAAAACCCTTTCAGTGTGTTTACCAAGTTTGAGTTGACTAGTGCAAATATCTTGCATATTTATAATCAAATAATATCGTTTAATTATCAGCATAACAATTTGAGTGAAAAGTTGAAATATCAACATATTTTAGAATGTGTCAGTATTTGGGTTGTCCCAAATGCGCATGGATAATCATGTTAAACCTTAATAATAAATTGATTTATATTGCGCTTTTCAATAGAATAAGCAAATACAACACAAGCTATAAAACAATTAAGAAAAAGTAGCTTTGAACAAGTGTGTCTTAATCAACCCTTTGAATTGTCCCAACGTTGGGGGGCTTTGCAGGAAAAAGCTCTTTCCCCCATGTCTACACAAGGGCTGATGTAATAAGAGGGAATTTGCAGATGGATAGGGGCTAATAAGATCATGTATACTCTGGAGTGATCCCAAGAGTCAACAATCAGACTAACCTGCTCAGCCTTACGAATAGCCACCACTGTACCAATCAGCATCAGTTCTGTTTTAGAGGCGTTTAGCTTCAGGAAGTTGTTCTGCATCCATCTCGGCTACAGATATGCAAAGTTATTAATGAGCATTATAAATGCCCATGCGGCATGGATGGAGCAGCATGAATAATCATGTTAAATCTTCCTCTCTCTTTTTCAAATTCATTTTACACTACATTTTTCTGTTTAGAAAGTATAGGATCAGGTAATCCATCTTACTTTTGTTCTGGTTTTGACTGAAAAAAGATGAACTAGCGATAGAATAGCCAGTGCTTGGGTCACTGTATTTTGATTTTAAGACAGAAAACAGCATCATAAAAGAATACAAGCATCCCCGTCCATTTAAAAATTGTTTTTTAAAATCCCCAGATCCCTCATCTGTCCCACAATAAATAAACAATAGAAAACAACTAACATAATTATTGACAATTAAAATTAAATATATTGCTTTTGTTTGAGGCTTTAGGATAAAATAATTAGTTTTACTTCAATGTATTGATAAGCTTTATAGCTGAAGAATCTGATGATTTATTTCAGAGCAACCATAAAAAAATGAAGATAAACAACAGTTGTTTTGTTTCATTTCACGTTATAATTTTTTTGTGTGTGTGTGCAAATTTTAATTTATTTTGGCAGACATGGCAGATGCATAAACATGACTTTAGAGATGTCATACAGTGGTGGGAAGTTGTAAAAACACAAATTAAAGTTTTCTGCCAACAGTATACTTGTTATTCCTCAAAAAGAATGGAAAATATGATTAAAGAACTTGAAAGTGAGATTCTTGAAATTGAAAACAAAATGTTGGAAAGACATGAGAATCAATTACAAAATGTTATATGTGAAAAAAGAAATACAATTAGAAAATGTATTACATGAAAAAGTAAAGGGAGCTTTTGTCAGAGCTCGTTTTTCTCATGTTAGAGATATTGATGGACCAACAACGTTCTTTTTTAATTTAGAATGAAAAGTGTGTCAAGAGAAACAAATGCTGTGTTTGATCCATGATCCATCTGAAATGAGTACATTTGTTGTTGAACAAACTGAACTTTTTGACTTAATCCCAAAACTTACACCAGAGCATAAGGAAGATTTGGAGTGTATTTTAAGCTTTCAAGAAGTAACCAAAGAATTATCAAGGAAAATCTCCTGGATTAGATGGTCTTCCCTCACGTTATAATTTATAATTATTAATCATTTATGTTGTTTACCATTTGATTACTTATTCAATTTTTAATTTAATAATTTATGTCTTTTTAGATGATTGTGGGGTTTCATGGAATGTTTGTCTTGATAAATAAGACTAGAGGGACTCTAGTCACAATTTCAAGGTTTTATGGGATGTTGTGAAGCAGTTTGGTTGTTGTATTTTTGCTGGTTAGACAAAGTCATTGTAATGGTTAAATAAATCAAGTGCAAAACATAAATGTTTTTTTCAAAAGTTTTATTTCTTTTGCTCCCAGTTATTCAAAAGTAATCTGATCAGATTTCACTTATTGGATTGGATAAAATCTTAAAAATGAGCTCAAAAGAAAAGAAAAAAAAGGATTCTGAAATCAAATTAGATCACAAAATGCAATCTTGTTTGGATCAAACAAGTATGTGTCGTTCAAAACCTTTTATAAGATTGGGATAACTTTGATTTTTTTTCATTTATATCTTTTATTTTACCCTTGATCCATGTAAATGTTACAGTAATGATGTAGAAGTAGACATTAGGACTTATTAAACCTGTCAGTAGATTTGGCACCATAAAATAATCCACAAAACAGCTGTCATAGCTGTTTTATTTTAATCACGTTATATAAAATACATTGGCACAATCATCGGAGTTGAACCAGTCAAAAGTACTGTCTATGCTTCCCTTGTTGCATGTATATTTATTTGTTTTTGTTGCTCATAGCAAGCTTTTAAAAAACGCGACAAAAGTAAATAAATGGTATAACTGGTCCCTGGAATCAGAATAATCCTGATATTACTAATACTAACACATAATGAAGGTTTGGTCCAGATCATAACCAAGACTAGATTGTGTGATGGTATCCAATTTCAGAATCCTTTTTTTAATTGGCAATCCATTTTTAAGATTTGTATAACCTGACTGCCTGAGTGACTTTTATAAAAACCTAACCGTTTAATTAAAATAAGAAAAAAACGAACAAATTATTTGGCACTGCATTTCTTTAGTACTTTGGCAAATAAAACAAAAAGAAAGAACACAGAAATGTACACCCCTTGGTAATTTGGTAAGCCTGTACAATAAATAAAATAATATTTGGATTTCCAACCACAGAATCAAAAGTGAAGATACAGCCATTGCAAGTGCACAGTAATTGATCCCTGTAATCCACTATTTAATAACCTGACTCACAATTCAGTGTTCCTGAGGTTTGGTTGAGGCACATCACATTCCTTATTAAAATCACAGCCATGAAGGAGCTTCGAGTAATGCTTTCTGACTGTTTCATACAGCGGAGCCGAATGATTCATGCCGGGAAAAGTCATGGGCTTCTCATTGAGAAACAACTGTACTCTAAGTCCATCGGTACACTCGTACAGGACAAAGACTAAGTTCGCAGCATAAGGTACAATCTGACTAGAGCGGAACATGCGATTGTGCTGCGAAGAAAAATTCTCCGCAGTTAGAGGTTTCTCATCCTTGAAAAGGGCCAACAGAGACAGCAGAGGCAGCAGGGTCTCACCATGACCAACCTGAATGGTGACAGTCTTTTTTACCTCTCCGAATCTGTCAGATTACAGGAGACACAAGTGAACACAAAAACATCTTTAGCATGTTTTATGGAGTATTGTAAGTGGACAAATACACCATAACTGACTGAAAACAGGTCCACATCTTAAAGGGAAATTCATTTTTGGTATGTTTTAGTTTGCGTTAAGGGCATCCAAGATGTAGGTGTCTTTGTTTCCACAGTATTTTTAATTTTGCTATTTTTAGGTCAAACCGTTGTTGTCTGTCAGTCATATAATGCAGGTCTATGGTCACCGCCTCAAAGAACATGCACAGGGAAGTCCAAATGAAACATGATTTAATGACTCGTAAACGTAAGTACACATTGATGGCATAAGACACGAAACGAGCGGTTTGTGTGAGAAAACGAACAGTATTTATATCATTTTTACCTCTTGTAACCACAACCACGTCCAAGTGTTCTGAGGGCTCGGGTGCTTCGGTCTGCGTTTGACGTGGTTGTGGTTACAAGAGATAAAAACATATAAATACTGTTCGTTTTCTACATAAACCGCTCGTTTCGTGTCTTAGACCATCAATGTGTACTTATATTTACGAGTCATTAAATCATGTTTAATTTGGACTTCTCTGTGCATGCTCTTTGAGGTGGTGACCATAGACCTGCATTATATAACTGACAGACAACGGTTTGACCTAAAAATATCAAAATTGACAATACTGCAGAAACAAAGACACCTACATCTTGGAGGCCCTTGAGGTAAGCTAAAACATACCAAAAATTAATTTCAAAGTGAACTATTCCTTTAATCTCCTTACCTGTAGTCATTAGCAGCCTTATCAAGGCGGTTGAAAATATCATGAAAGAGAGGGCAGCTGGATTTACGGTTGATGTCATGTCCGTATCCCCTCTTCCAGTACTGTTTCAGGTCATTTTTATACTCCAGGACCTAACAAAAGGCCAAAAACACGTTACTGTACAAGAGAAACATGCGTTTTTGGTCGCCAAGGTAAATCCAGTTGTCAGGGCACTGATTACAGTACGTAATTACTAGACATTCTACGACCCCACAAACACCACAGCTGACATGGAAGAATTACACTTTGAAGTTTAATACAATTCAGTATATCCACTGAAAATTAAAGTTTTCAACTTCAAACCAACATACATACTTGAGCGTCAGACTCATCCAGCAGATCGCACCATGGAGAGTTCTCTGACTTGATGGCAAACTCATAGGAGCACAAAAAGAAAGCTGCCTCCGCCATATCTTGGAAGAAAATGAATCAATATCAGGAAGGATCTATATTATTGACTATTAGACTGCAGATTTACATTAATAAACTTCAGTGAACAGTAAGATGACACTGTAATTTAAAAAGCAAAATTACCTGGGGTGATTTGATTGAATGGAATCTGAAGGCGGTTGGATATTTTCTTCCGTACTGCATCCATTTCTGCCGAATATTTAAAGCGTTCTACCTCCTTCAAAGCTGTTTTATTGTTCTCAACACCTTCAACAAATCTCTCACAATGATCAAAGAATCTCATGAGTGAATCATCCACATAGTGTTGGTAATCCATATCTATAAAACAAGAAGTATGGTTAGTTGAATAACAGTTGAACGAGGGACCACTACTTCAACAATAAAGCTTGCTGGATCATTAACCACAGCTTGTGGAAAGTTGTTTACATAGTATGCGCAGATAACAACAGACACTTTATGGCAGATGTGCTGAGGAAAGCATTCCCTCATTGTGTTACAGTGTCTTTAAATGCCAGCTGTTTAACCTTAAGGTGCTGTGGTTGAGAATTCAGATGTTTCCTATCAAGATGGAGCTCATAGAAATCTGATCCCAATGAATAATAATAATAAAAAAAACGTATTTAAATCTAGAAATAAACAATGTAGGTTTTTAAAAATGTAAAACAATCAAACGCCATGTCAATTTTAAATGTCCCCAATGCAAATGTTTGTTATAATCTGAGCTTCAGCTTTGAAATAGGATATAACGCCTGTGTGGTATCATGGGGTCCTGGCATATATAGACCATTTCACAAGATGTAAACAACAGTGGTCCAGAAACACTTCCTGTTTCAGTTTGTAACTGTTTTCTTTATTTCACATGTAAAGAAAACATATTAAAGATGTTTGTTTAACTTTTTGATTCGGTTTTAAATGTTCTGTTGGTTGTATTTTATCCCAGCTTTTATGTAGTGTTAAAAAACTGAAACAGGAAGTGCTTCTGGACCAGTGTTGTTTACATCTTGTGAAATGGTCTACTGGGGGTTCTGGAAACACAGTCTATAGACCATTTTGCAAGATGTAAACAACACTGGTCCAGAAGCACTTCCTGTTTCAGTTCTTTAACACTACATAAAAGCTGGGATAAAATACAACCAACAGAACATGTAAAACTGAATCAAAAAGTTAAATAACATCTTTAAGATGTTTTCTTTACATGTGAAATAAAGAAAACAGTTACAAACTGAAACAGGAAGTGTTTCTGGACCAGTGTTGTTTACATCTTGCAAAGCATGGTTCTTCTGTCATCATTGACATTGATTAACCCACCGTCATGTCATTCTAAACCTGTAGGATTTTATTTTTTCTGTGGGACATAAAAGATGATATGTATGTTTTATGTCTCAGTGTTTTTTTCTGTCCATACAATTGAAGTCACCAAAACGGTTTAGTTATGTTCACAGAAGAAAGAAAGGCAGGTTTGGAATGATACTTGGATGAACTTTTCATGAACAATGTTTAAGAAGCCAACAAAACAGCTAGTAAAGAAAGGACATTAGCCTACCCTGAACATCCCAGAGTCTGTGAAGACCTTCTTGGAAAGCTTTAACACTATCAATACAGCGGTGCTTGGAGCTAGTAATGAACTCAATGCGGTTGGCGCGGAGGAGATCCTCAGAAATCAAGGTGGGGAATGACTGTGCCAGTCTCATAGCCAAATGCCGGTGGTCATCTCGCCCTTTCTCCACTAGTCTGCCGTCCATGTCTTCAGTGTACCACATCTTCCATGTTTTAATGTTATTAAGCCAAGACTCTGAACCCGACGCTTCAGACACGACGAGACCAAACAGTCGCGCAATCTTTTGCACATTTTTTGTGGTTGGATAGCGTGTCCCGTGACGTATCACCGACACCATATGAATGGCACGGTAATCTGGAGAGGGGGGACCCAGTAGCGATCTGTTTACAAACAAAATGTCATCTAATAGATGTGGATTCACTTCCTCGTATCTGCCTTTTGTCCCAAAGTAATGCGCTATCGCCGGTATGGTTGGCCTGGCGAGTTTAGAGAATGACAAACCAACCATAACGCTCAAAGAAGAGATGAGAAAGTTAATGAGGAAATAAGTTATTTTCATTTCTGGATGTGTGCTACCTGTTCCACCGAAAGTACCCGTAGCCTGTTCACCTGTGCATTTCACAACGTAAAAACACAACGCGCCCTGCCGAATATGATGATGACGCGCCCGTATGTGAAGCCAGCCTCAAAAACGAGATACAAAACCTTCCGGGTCAAAACACAGCAGATTCAGGTAAATAATACACCACTGGTAGTATGAAAAAAGCATGTATTAATTGTTTAATTTCGAAATGCGTATACAATGCAACATTTGGGAACTTTGTTTTTCAAAGATTTCATAAAAAAAGAAGTGTCTTGTGCTACTAGATGGCGGTGTTGTGCATCCCTTTAATGAAGGGTAACTGATTCAACCACAAATAACTTTTTACTTAAAAATATCAAATATCATTTAAAGTTTTCTACAGAGCATGGCTATACAATTAAATCCTTGGAAATTCTCGCAGATAAAGACAACAACAAGCAAATGAACAAACAGGGGAAACAGACAACTGACTAACAAAACCACATAAAAGCAGAATGCTTATGTATAAATTGTGTGCATAAGTCATACAATTAAACGTTGAATTAAAATGTAAAAGTAACAGACTAAATGAAGGGCTTCTTGAGGTTGAACAGTCCTACTGAAGTGCAGACTAAGCTGTATAGGCTAAGATAATATATGACTGGTCAAGTTTAAAGAGTGTGAAAGAGTCATTGATTTAAATGTCAGAAAGAAAAGTATGACTGAGGCGTTAAGGCATTGGGTTAGAAGCCGTCTTTGAATCTTGATGTACATGTGCTGTTGGACCCTTTACACTTTCCAGAATCCAGTGAGAGAGTGATTGCGCAGGGTGACTAGAGGCCTTAGTTCTGATGTTTCCAATTTTGCTGAAACATTTTTAGAATGAATGTCCTAATATGTGTGCCTATTATCTTTTGAGCTGCTTTCACCACCACTCTGCACAGCTTTCTTGCCATGCTATGCTGAGCAGATCGCCGTAACAGGTTGTAATGTCTCCAATGAGAATGGATTCAACATCACACCTGTAGAAACGGGTCATGACTGCTGTGAACATACAAGCTTTCTTCATTTCTTCATTTCGAGTGATATATATTTACCAGAGAGCTATACATCGGTTCACTGCAGTAGAAGAAATTCCAGATGTGCATCATATAAATCGTATGTTGTCTTCAAGCTGTTTGTTTTTTGTTTTCATATGAGATGACAAAATATACATCATATATTTTAATATCTTAAATATTTTAAACTGTGTTCCGTAGATGAACGGAGGTCTTACGGGCTTCACATGAGGGTGAGTCATTAATGACATTTTTGGGTGAACTAACCCTTTAAGTCCCAAACTTAAACTTAAAGCTACACTGTGTAACTATTTTAGTTTATTCTTAGCTAAAAACACTTAGTTCTTTCAAAAATATATGTGCTCATTAATGTATATTTACTTCGCAGTAATAAAGTATTCTCGTGAGTGTATAATATGCCATTGAAAATACATACGGGTAAGGGGTTCTAATGTCGGTCGCCATGTTGCCCCCCCATCTTGAAAGTACATTAGCCAAAGAGGGACATACCCATTAAAGGGATAGTTCACTTTGAAATTAATTTTTGATATGTTTTAGCTTACCCCAAGGGCATCCAAGATGTAGGTGTCTTTGTTTCCACAGTATTTTCAATTTTGACATTTTTCGGTCAAACTGTTCTTGTCTGTCAGTCATATAATGTAGGTTTAGGGGGTCCACCTCAAAGAGCATGCACAGAGAAGTCCAAATTAAACATGATTTAATGACTCGTAAATGTAAGTACACACTGATGGCCTAAGACACGAAACGAGCGGTTTGTGTGAGAAAACGAACAGTATTTATATAGTTTTTACCTCTTGTTAACAGCTACGTGCACTCATCTGAATCAGACGTCCAACTGAACCGAACTGAACCTTCTCCAGACGTTACGCCGGAAGTGATCTCACGCGCGTCTACGTCACGCATTGTTTACACGGAGATTTCGGAAGTTTTACCTTTCGCTAAACATATTTAGATATACGGGAAATCAACACTATCTCACGACCAATTCGTACGAATTCGACGCATGATTAAAAAGTAGCTAATTCGTACGACCTCACTCGTACTAATTCGTACGATTTGTCTAAACCCACGTGATGGTTAGGTTTAGGGGCGGGGTAAGGGGTAGGTCATTCGTACGAATTCATACGAATTGGCCAATTCGTAAAATATGTACGATTTAGCAAAATCGTATTAATTCTCACGAGTGAGGTCGTATGAATTGTTACGAATTAGCCACTTTTTAATCATTCGTCGAATTCGTACGACTTGGTCGTGGGAACGGGCTGGGGAAATCGCAATGGAAGACGATTTCGATTAAATTAAATTAATTTAACACTCATGGACAAAGTTGGAGTGGAAGCCAAGTTAATCTTGGACCACATTCGCCACCGTAGGAGTTAAAACGAAATCGGAATTGAGAGGAACAGAAACTAATATTTATTGGATGGTCATATACCTTTTCACCGCTAGATGGGGGTAAAAATCACACAGTGTAGCTTTAAAAACCGCTAAAGGTGTCATACACTGATTCATACAGCAGTTGTCACAGACAAAATCAATTAGCGTCACCTACAGGGTGTCCGTGTTGATTAATAAGTTCTCCTGTTTGATGTCTCTATGGAGAACTCCTACAGCCGTTGTTGGCAGCCTCAACGGCATGCCGCATCACATGTGTGCGATCTCTTCAGTGAAGATGCATGTTTAACCTCTCCAAAAAGAAAAAGAAAAGAAATCTGTCTTTATGGTGTAGCTTTTTGATGTACAGAGCTCCAATAAATATATAAAAAAAGATTTACCATCAGTAGATCTTATAAAAAGGTCCAGCCTCAGCGTCCTATCAACCTTCCAACTCTGCTCCGCTATCTCACCCAACTAGCTCTTGGGCGAGAGATATTGAAGCAGACCAACCTCTTTAAAAACCTCCTTTTCTTTTTCACCCTCTTCTCCTCTCTCACATTGCCTCTACCTCTTTCATGACCAATACCAGCTCTCCTCCCATCAAGCCGATGAGTATTTGGCATGTTGACGGTGGATTGTAGTGGTGTACGTGGATGGGAATTGTACACACACTTGCTAACTGCTGTTTTCTTCGCAGGAGAAACTCTTACCCATGACAATTTCTCCAAACTACTCATAAAAATAATGTAGGGCTTGTGCAGAGCGGTCAAGTCTACATCATCAAATCTAAGAAATGAAATAAGCTTTTGGATTATGAAGCTTGCCTGTATTCCTGGAAGGCATGTTGAATAGTTTAACATAGAAAATCAGAGCATCTTATTGTTGAGCCCAGTAATAGGAGGACTGAAACTAGTTTATGCAATTTTCAGTAAATATTTCTGAGGGTAGATCATTTTTGAGTTTCTGTATAGACCCATACCTTAAATTCTAAACTACAGAAAAGAAACCTTGTATTAAATATATAAAATAACTATTGTCTTGAAACCTTTTAAATAGTGAGTCCAATCAAATCCATGATCACCTCTATATTTTTGTACTCTTGAGTTTCTCCAAATAATTTCAACGCATTTTCTGTTTCAACCCGTCCTCAGAAGTACTACACACTTTACAATAAATATATTTTCCATATTCTCATTGAAACTGCTAGTTATAGGTAATTATTTCCTTGGTTTGGTTCTCGCATTCACATGAAGGTAACAGACATCTTTTGGTATCTAAGCTACAGGAACAAAAGCAGTTACAGTTATTGTCCTGTATCTGATTCAGTCTGTAATCATTCTTCACCTACTATAATTACGTAGATGTACCATTTAAAAAAATAGTTCTGCATTATTATTTCCTACATTGTAATATTATGTTTATAGGTATACGTAAGCCACGTGTTCACACAAAACATGACAATATGAAAGCACAGCTAGAGTAAAACACAAACTGTGTGCTACACAGCAGCAAAAGACAAAACATGACATGAAAGCACAAGAAACAAGCACACAGACAAGACAAAACAGGAGTGTCAGGACCAAGACGAGACGGAAGTGACAGAACTCTGACAAAATCAAGCTGATAAGAAAGGGAACAAGATTCACGGATTTGTATGATGGCACGATTGTATGTGGATGTCTTTATGTAAACATTTATAAGTTATCATTTCCATTGTCTGTGCTATCAGCTCTTGCCAGCAAACGTGTGGCTCCCAGAGTTTATGCAATGATGACGTCCTCTTTCTCTTAAACTGCTGGTCTTACATAAAAGTTAAAAATTAGACTATATTAGGAGGAGTAAATTAAGTAAATTTCTTTGTTTTGTTGATAATGACTACATGGCGACTGTATTACGTCCGAATTAAATTCACATTCATACTATATAGAACGTACATTTTATCAGTCGTGAAGTAATTACTCATTCAAAATAAGTACCTACTCAAGAGAGTATGCATTTTCGGACTCATTTGTTTCTCTTTTGTGCATGACATCCTCATTTCCTTTCCTTGGGTTTTAGCCCCACCCGCTTATGCCTGCTACAGGCTGTGCGATATCTGCATTCATAAGATCATTAGAAATCACACTATATTGAACCAATAAACTTGGGTGCGACGTGTTTGTAGACTGTACGATGATGACACCTATTGAATCATAGGCTACAACGTAAGTTTTGTAGAAGAATAAAACGTCATTAGCATGTGCTAATGGTAAAAAATAGAGCAAGATCACACTGGCAATTGTGTGTTTATTTTTTGTGCCGTGGGAAAAAAAAGGAGGACGCGAATAAGTAGAATATTGATGTGGTCATTGCTAGGGAATTTGGGCCAACTCGAGTTGAGTTTAGGCCAACTCGACACAATTTAGGCTAACTTTGTAAATTGAGTTTGAGGTAAAGTTTTAGCGCCATGTTGCAATGATCAATATGCCATTTCATGTTGCATTTTTATTGGCCAGTCCGTATAGGTCGTGGCAGCAAACACACTTGACTGTGTGATGTTCATGCTAAATTTCTGATACTGTCAGACACTTTTTGCAGGCTCTTTGGTCGCAAGACCATGACAACGATCATCTTTGAACCTCGAGATGTAGGACCGCCGTTTTGGAGCCACGACCACAGAAATTGCCACAATTGGGACAGACAAAATCGTAAATGATGCAATTTAGCAGATGCACTTACCTTGCAGCCTATGAAGGAATGAGCCATCTCTCAGATTTCATCAAAAATATCTGAACGAAAGTCTCACGGGGTTGGAACAACATGAGGTTTAGTAATTAATGACAGAATTTTCATTTTTGGGTGAACCCTTTAACATTTGATTTGAACATTTGATTGTCTTGATGCCTTACTTGAATGCAGTCTCAGTTTTCAGATGCAGCCCATGACTCTTTAGGAAGCTTTCTCACACCTCATTCCTCGCCTCATTGCGTTGCAATTAGAGAATTGAGATATCCTTCATGATGGCTGAGTTCAGTCTGTTTCTGGGTCATGGGCTTGAGGACATTGTTGGTCCAAATAAACTGGGTAGAAACCCATTTTTCTAGAGCAAGCATTTACAAATCCTGCATTGAACTATGAGATTTGAGAAGCAGTCGTCAGTAAAGTGACGTGTTGTGGGCTGGTCAAGTTTTTCACGGGAGGATAACATACAACATATCTCCTAGTGACGTAGAACCGTAAAGCAGTACGATTCGATACCCAAATGACTCGTAAGGCGGTTCAGATTCAGAGTCGATTCTTTCTTTTGGGAGACAATAACTATTTATTCAATGAAATATTCGAAAAAACATAATAGGGGCAATTTTAATATTTATAGTGGTGTTAATTAAAAATGTGCAATTACTACTGTGCTTAAATACACTACATAATGTATTGATAAGTAAACTTTCATACTTATTGTCACTCTACAGATCCAGGTCATGCTTGTCATAGGCTGCGTTCCAGTCCACTTTAATACACACACTTGCGAACTAAGCACCTAAAGCACTTTCCCTGCAGCCATTTTGAAGTGCATTCCACTTCAGCAGGAGTTTAGTCGTTTGTCATGGTTGTAAAAAACAAACAAACAATGGCTATCTGATCATCTTTGCCAAGCGCAAACCAATACAGAAGTAATCAATTATCAGGGAGGGTCATTCCTTTTTTTACAATCATTTTGGAGGGTCATAAAAGCTTGCAAAGGAGGGGTCAAAAAAAGTAACAAATCCTTCCTTCACGGGTAAATTGAACACCTTTAGGAATGAATAGAATGCGAGGAATGCTTCAGTGCACATAGAAAAACTAAAAATGCTAAAAATTCCAACTAAAAATGCTTTTTAATAATGTCTATGTGTATCTGAATGCATACTTGAGATAAATGATTTTAGGACCCAGTGGAACAGCCAATTTTTGAGATCCACGCGAAGAGTCGGATCCAGATCCAACTCCTCCCACCTTACATACCAAACTTACCCAGCTCCACCCCTGATCCCTAAACCTACCCAACTCCACCCCTCAGATCTGGATCCGTCTCCGCCCCCTGGATCTCGTGTACTGCAATGAGGTGCTACTGCAATTTTCTCCAAATCAGGCCAGAGTCATGAAATATCATGTTATATAATTTTGTCCCACAAGAGGTTGGCAAAGACACCCAGTGCTTAAATTACTATTTAATAATTTATTTATCAAATATAGTAATTTAAGGTAAATAAAATAATAGTAAAAATATATAAAAAGGTGTGTTAATTTTTTTCAAAGAATTTTGAATGAAATCTAATAAATTAAGTAAAATTTAAGTATTATTTTAGGGCTTCGGGTCATTTTGACCCGCGAGGGAAAGATGTGTTACAAAGTGAGGGAAGGTCCACACATCATTGGTCGTTTTGATCGAGATGGTTCTCACTGCGGAACATGAAATCCACGGGGAGGAGTCGGATCCAGATCCGACTCCTCCCACCTTACATACACCTAAACCTACCCAACTCCGCCCCCGGTCCCTAAACCTAACCCTAATCCTACCCATCTCCACCCCTTGGATCTTGATCCGACTCCTCCCCTTGGATCTCATGTACTGCATTGAGGTGCAACTGTTTTGATCACTATACCGCTCCTGCTTCCTTAAATAAACCATCAGTGTGATTGCATACCTGTGTGGTCTCCTTCTGTCCACTGACAATGCTATTGTAGACAGGCTATAAAGGTTCTCTACAAACATCTTGTTGTCAGCTATTTTTTGGAGATTGGCATTAATTAGTGTATTCAGCACCATAGCTCCATTATTAAACCAAATGAATGTGCATCTTTGTTTCGCAAAAGTGACCTGGGTGTTACAAGTCAAGTTCATGGGAGAGGTTTTTTTTGCCTTGGAAAAAAAGGAAGAAAATGCAAACAACATTATCTTCATGAGGTTCAGCGGATATCTGTTTCCCACACAGGATGTCATTCCCACCCTGAAGCCCCTGTTTTCCTTACACCTACTTCATAGTTGTTTCCTCACGCACAGGGCCTGGCTGTGTGCTGCAGTCACAGAACATTACGTTCAGCTCTTTTAATTCTCATATCCATTACATAACATATTCAGATGTGATCATTTAAATAATTAAAAGTCAGTTTAGGAGACACGGGGACAACTGTTTTGAATTGAAGGTTTACAACAGTTCCTTGGACTTAATTATGCCAGCTGCAAAACACAAAACCTGTTTGTTAAGAATTCCAAATGGGGCATTCAAAGCATGTAAATGAAGTGATACAGTATCAGAGGTTGTCATGCTTCCAAGTGGAAATCACCTTTTTAAGCTATTTGGATGTTGCAAGATTTTTCGGAAAACACTTTGCACTTACGTATGGAAATGATAAAATGGAAGAACTGAAATTCATGACACAAAAGGTGAGAACTTGGAGAGACCATGACCTCAGCTTACCTGGTAAATTGTGTGACTAATCCTAGCTGACAAGTGGTGACCGGAAAACAGACAAGTTCCTGTATTCCATACAGTCAAGGGCCTGGTATTCTTCACCTCTAGCTGACATCACTCTTGGATTTGAAGCTCAGGATATTGCATGTTACCTCATTAGGTTCTCTCATTCTCTTATATTGTTATTGTAAGACATATTTAGTTTTTAGACCATTTGGCAAAAATATAATTAGCCTAGATGTTCATAAATAAATATGTTTCATTCATTAATTGTATTATATTAATCTAATTATGTAATATTAGTCATATTATATAATTATGAATAAAATAATTATCATATAATTAATATAAAATAAATATAAAGCATGCCTGTCTCTCTTTCAACATCAACTCTTTCAACATCAGTGTATATATATATATATATATATTCTTTTTGATTTTATTTACATATAAAATTTACATATCAAATATATATATATATATTCTTTTTGATTTTATTTATATATACACTCTAAAAAATGCTGGGTTGTTTTAACCCAACTTTGGGTCAAATATGGACTAACCCAGCCGTTGGGTTAAATTTTTACATTACATTTTTAACCCAACATTTCGGGTTTGTCCATATTTGACCCAAAATTGGGTTAAAACAACCCAGCATTTTTTAGAGTGTACTGTACATATACATATATATATATATATATATATATATATATATATATATATGTATGAAGAGTTCAGATGCAAAAGCCTCTATAAGTGCCATTTGAAATTTTCTTCTAAAATGATCATTTTTATCAAGCTTGTATATTTAAGTTCAGTAATTTCACTTAAATGGCAATGAAGATTACCTATTATATGTCATTTAAGTGAAATTACTGAACTTAAATATACAAGCTTTATAAAAATGGTCATTTTAGAAGAAAATTTCAAATGGCATTTAGAGGCTTTTGCATCTGAACTCTTCATATATATATATATATATATATATATATATATATATATATATATATACACACATTGTTTTGGATTATATATATAGCCTATATATATATATATATATATATATTCTTTTGGATTTTATTTATATATATACTGCATATATATATATATATATATATATATATATATATATATATATATATATATATATATATATATATTCTTCTTATTTAGACTAGATGTAAAAACCAGGACGCAATCACTTACCAGTCATAGTATTCATAGATTATGGTGATGGGCGGAGCCTCTATTCGTTGGCTAAATGAATCTGTTTCTTCTTCACAGTCTCTCTGTGGATGAAGGCGAATGGAAGCTGGCGTGCAGCGGGCTGCATATTAATTTGTTTCACCAGGATTTATGTCCGTCTATGCAGCAATTTATGGATTATGCGAATTAAATGTATTGCTGCCCCTCAACAGGGTTACGATGAGTGCAGTGTGTATCCTAGTGTGATTTAATTTTGGCCAGTGTGGTAATATTAGGGTAGTAATCTGTTACTGCAGGACGTTTTTTAGGCTACACATCAAGTATCTTCGCAGCATGAACATGGATGAAGATAACCGAGGTAAGGTTTCTGTTTCTGTTTTTTGCAAGCATAAGCAGCTGTCTCTGGTTTGTCTCAAAACCCGAGTGAGCTGCCTATCTAGACAGCATTTTTGAGCGTAAGAGGCGCGTGCTGTTGATTGGAAACGCACTTTGATGCCCGAACACTATATAGACAACTCAAACGGTTTACTCACTGTGAAGATAACCACTATATCAGCACTAAACGGGGTGTGTAGGTGAAAAAAGTACATTTTAATATAATATTTTCTACTATACTTTTATCATCGACTGGATCATTAGTTATACTTTATTTTCACTCTAACAGTTTTTGCTTTATATAAAAGGTGTTTCATTTTTACTTGAAATTGCCAGTGTTCTTGTTTTTGTCAATAAGTTGTCACTGTGTTTGATAAGAATTCGTACATTCGTACTTGTCTTACTCCGTTCATATGGCTGTCCATATGTAGGTCGTCAGTTTGTTTGATGTGGGATTCTTTGAAGTAGCTCGCGAGATGTTTATGAGTACAGCTGTGGTGCCAAGAGGGATAATGAAGCATTTAATTAGTCAAGTGCTCGTTTTTTAATATAGAGCTCTGCATAAATAACACATTTATTAATTAGAAAATGCTATTTTAAAACTGAGCAGTATCATTTGAGTGCCGTAGGCTAATATAACCAGCGGGGTTGACATTCAATACAACAACACAACTGGGAGAGTGACGTTGCTTTATCCAACAGTTCAACAAACAATTACTAATTAACTTACATTTCAGACAAAAAGGGTTAGTTATCTTCTCCACCAAAGAAAATGGTTCCATAAGAAGCTACAACAACGAACATTGCTTGTCACAATGTTTTTTATTTGTATTAAATCCACTTTTTTTAAATCCATTTTTACATTTCGCAAATCAATACACTCCATTTATAAACATTTAACATAGCCTTCTTCCGAAAGCTTAAAAATTATGCCTTCCAAGGTATGAAGGCATCATGGCTGAATATCTGAATATCAGAATCTGAATATTAGAATCTGAATATCAGAACCCCTCATGGACATCCCACACTCCAAGAGGGGGACCCCCAACCACCACCAACTGGCGATATAAAGGGCGATTTCGGACAATGCCAAATAAACCATAGTTTTGTCTAGTATATAGATAGCTTAAACCACTATTATTGTTAGTAATAATGTAATAACTTAGTATTGCATAATGTTAGCACAAGTTAGATGAAGAAAAATAAAAAAATTAAATTAAATTGAAATGAAAATGTAAATGACATATTCCGAAAGCGTCTTGCACCATTTGAGATATTAATGTATTTTTTATTCTAGAATAGTTACAAATAACTATAGGAAGTATATGGTATTTTTGGTGGATATGTTTTCCACGGTTACTTTTAAGGGATTGGAAGATATTGTTTATTTCTTTGGTTTCTATTGTTCTTTCTTTAGATATTATATTTGAAACTTTGACAAATTAATTTGAACTGTACTACACTGATTGTAGCCACCTGGTCCATGGAATATTTTGTGATGACCATTTTGGAAAGATTTCAGAGCTTGCCCATTTTGAATACATCTTGGACAGGCACCAGTGGGCTTTCAGATACTTCTCAAATTATTCTGCTTATAAAGTGTAGAACTAAAAGCCAGACATCTCAATCAGCATTGAGCATGCAGCCAGTTTCATTGCTGTGCTGATTTACTGCTGTAATCACTCTATCTGACAAAGACCAATTGTAAATGTCTACAAGAACAAGAAAGCAGATAGAGGTACCATTAGCTCAGTTGGTCTTTCCAGTTCCTCTTGTATCATGATCCTGAAAAACTTCAAAGCCTTGGACTCAATGGCTAGTTTGTCTTATCTTACCGTGGGAAAAAACAAATGGAGAACCATTTTCCATCAGTTTCTGTGACAGATGGTTGACTGCAAAGAAAGACCATGATGTCAAGGAGAGCCCTCTTATCAGAACCACAAATTGATGTCCTTTTTACACTGAATTAATAATAAATTGTAAATGTGTTCAGCATTCTTGAACAATTTTTTTCTCTCCTGATTTTCTAGACTAATTTAAGTCATAAAAGTTAGCAGGATATGTTCAAATTTAGCACATGGACTCTGAGCTTTCCCTTGCTCTACAGCACCACCAATTTCCAATGTGGCGAAACATGGAACTGCAGCGCTTGCTAATTGAGTCATTGGGGCAGATTTCAGATTGCCGCACTTATATTCACATTTCCTTATGTAAACACCGCTCCTGACCAATACGGTCAATCCACTTCAGGTATGTGTAGTCTGCATCAGGTCAATTACTAGTTGGCATGTCTGTTCTACCAATGTGGAGTAGCATCAAATGAATGAAAGCATACAGTACATCCTTTAGTTTAAACTTGCATATGAATAATATGGATGCTTGTTTCCGCCACAGAATAGAACATTTTAAAAATGTATTTTAGGGCTGTCAAATGATTAATCGAGATTAATCGCATCAAAAATAAAAGTTTGTGTTTACATAATATATGTGGGTGCACTGTATATAATTATTTTATATATAAAAATACACACACATGCTTGTATATTTAAGAAATATTTCATGTATATACTTTGTATAGATTTATATATAATTTATATTATATAAATATAAATATTTTATATATAAATAATATTTTTTTCTTAAATATACATGCATGTGAGTGTATTTATATATATAATTATACACAGTGAACCCACATATATTATGTAAACACAAACTTTTATTTTGGATGCGATGAATCGTTTGACAGCCCTACTTTATTTCTCAGAATTGGGAGATATAAAGTCAGAATTGCGTGAAATACAGTCACAAGTGCGTGTTATAAAGTCAGAATTGCGAGATAGAAACATGCAATTCTGAGAAAAGGTCCGAATTATGAGTTTATTTCCCGCAATTGTGAGTTTATATCACAATTCTGACTTTATAACACAATTGCAGCTTTATATCTCACAATTCTAACTTTTTAACTGGCAATTGTGAGAAAAAAGTCAGCATTTTGAGATAAAAAGTCGCAGTTACCTTTTTTATTTTTTATTTTGTGGTTTAAACAAGCTTTCATAGTATCGCCTTTACAGCCCTAGAGTTGTGTTCTGTAGTTATGTTGAATAGACATGACTTTGTTTTCCTCGGTAAATGACATTCTATGTGTTTGTCGTGTGTACTAAAGTCTGTCAATAACCATTAGAGCGCCACCCTTAGGCTGAATAACGCAACTACATTACAAATCTGCCAAAAGTGCATGTGATGTGTTCAGCGATTAGAATATAAAGCTTACAAAATCCTAAACTAGCATTAAGATCAAGAATCTGCCTACGTAAATTTACGGCCAGGAGCCGCTATTTCTAAGGACCAACAAAGGGACAGACCGTTCTCAGACTGATTAAAGGAGAGACCGTGTGGCCTGGCACTCATTAACATTGTCTGATGGCACCGGTGTCTGGTCCAGGCTCTCCTGAGGAGCCGTCTGGCACCAGGGATGACACAGGCAGTGGTCAAAACCTCATCAATGGTGTGACTGCACTAGCAGAGATCTGAAGGACTCCGTGCCTGGCAAATCGGCTTAAGGTCAAGACAATGTCAGCCATGTTATTATTATCAAAAACATTGTATTTTTTCATTTCACTGGCATGTAATATCCATTCTGATTACTGATAGATCTGAGATGTCATGCTGCACAAGATTTGATGTTTATGTTTGCTGTCGATTGAGATTTTGATATGAGGTTTAATCTGTAAATGTGATGTTAAACATGTATCATGTGGTTGCATCCGGATTATTGCCATTGGATGAAGAAGGAGAGAGAGCTTTTAGCGTTCAGTGTTTGTTGTCTTCTAAGTGCCACATATGGAATTGATTTGAAGAAAGTCTGGAGAGCTTTCCAAGACGTCTTATGAGCTATAGCACCAGTTGAACGGTGGTGAAGTGAGTGGATGGTGAATTACTGTTATCGAATGCAAATATTTTTAAGTGGAAAGTTAAAAACCTAAATAACTTTTTTGATGGGCTTGTCAAACCATTTTGTCCCAGCAGGAGATTTAAAAACAAACTGTCCGTAGTACAAAAGAGCCTTGTCCAGTTTTCCACCCACTGAGTCAGGACCGTCCCAAAGCCCCATCTCTTTCATGTCAGGAATGTTGGATTCGGCAGCCGTGCATTCTTGGGCTTTACGTCTTTATCATTTGCAGGTTTTGTTAATGCAGAAAGAGACATTGAAGGGGATGTGGGTTTTAGAGACAGATTTGGTCTATTGTATAATATTTTATATAAAAAAATGTTATACTGTTTAAAAGTTTGGGGTGGGTAAGATTTTTTTTTAATGTTTTGTTGAGAAATTTCTTATGAGTGCATTACCAAGGCTGCATTTATTTGATCAAAATGACAGTAAAAACAATAATATTGTCAAATATTTATTGAATTTAAAATATATTTCAAACTAGGTACATTTAAATAGAACTTAATTGATGGCAGTTGTGCTGCTAAATATTTTTGTGGAAACCATGAAGCTTCTTTTTAAGACTGTTAAATTCAGCAAGTTTAAAAGAACTGCATTTACTTGAGAAATATATTTTTTTTGTACAGAATACAAGTATTCATTTCTTTCAAAAAAGAAAATCTCACTCACCTATAACTTTTGAACAGTATTTCAAAAGGATTTTATAAAGATGTGCTATAAAACACCCATAAAACAAATGTCCAGGATTTTTTGTTTTACATTAGAAGTGTTGTCTGGCTTCATCCATCCAATGAATACAGACTTAACTAAATATAGACTTAAAACTGTGAATGTAGAAGCAGATGTTGTGGGTATCCCAAATGTTTTTTTTTTTTGCTAATACTGTTATTTGATAAATACACATTCGGGGGGCTCTAAGAGGATAAAGAAAAGCACACATGGTTCAGAAAGCAACTTTTTTTTCTCTTTTGAATAGAGATAAGCTCTCTGCCCATTCCATCTGTCTCACTGGTTAACAGTGATGGAAGTAT